TCCCACCTGACCGTATACCTATTATGTCTATTTACAGGTACATGGAGTATGCAGAGAGTTATCATCTTCCTACATCGTATACATTAGCTGAAGTATAGTTTTATGCCATTAATTACAATGCTTGTCTCAACTGTTCAACGGTAGCCGGAACATGAAATTAATAAGCAAGTCAACTTTTAGAAATTAAGCTTGTCACTTCACAGAAAAAATTATAAAAACATCGCTTATACTTACTATTGAAACGGTGTTCTAGTTTTAAATAGAACATGTGTTTATTTGTGGGTGCATCAAAATCTGCTCGTTGAACAATAAAGCAAATACCTGGAGTTATAAGTTCTTCTTCTTCGTGTGGAAATTGGGAGAATGGTTGAATATCCATAGTATAGGCGTATCCGACTTCCATGATGTGTAAGACATTGCCGCCATATATATCAGCTATGTTGCGATTTCGACTGGCCGAAGTGAACGCTTGAAATGAGCGATATTTATCGGAATGTTTTGAACACTCTACATAGGTAGCAATTTGCTATTCGGATAGCGTTCATCCTCGATAGAGTAATTGCTTGGTAATATTTGGCTTGATGTTGAAAAGATCGTCCCACAGACGTAGATAAAAGGGTCCTAACGTATCAATTTTACTTCGCCGGACGTCCTCATGCTCCTGACTTCCTATCATTCTCATAATTTCATTTAGTTTTTTGAATAGGAATTCATTGAGCGAGTAAAGATGCGCACAACACTTCCATACTTCTTTCACTCCTTTTTCTTTCACATCCATTAACTTCTTGGCCATATACTCGGCTTTACGTTGTTTTCCTAGTTTCTTACCTTCTTCAATGATACCAAGGGCAGCTCTCTCAACAATCATCGGAATGGTTGTTTCGTCTTTTGATGGCAATTGTTGTTCTTTGAGTTTCAGATGCTTCCTCGTCTCTAGTATGAAAGGCGAGACCCAACCATACTCACTACCAAAAGGACGTTTTGGAGCAATGGGATCCGGCATAAAGCGTTCTCCTCGTGAAGCTTTGTTAACTCTTTTTCCCATCACACGTTGGACGGGTCTTTGTTTAGTGTTATCTTTGTTAGAAACTTGTATGTTGTGCTTTAAATCAATATAGTAATCGTCTAGCATGGCTTGAGGCTTGTTAGCCAAAAATGCTTCTTCGATAATTAAGTTTTCCACATCCGAATAATAACTCCATTCAGGCTCCTGATGCTGAATAAATGGATATGGGTTGGATTGCCACATCCATTCAACACATGTCAAATCGTTAGTAATTCCAGATATCTGATCAGCCATCACTACTATTCCGTATGTATTTTAATTCACATAAAATAAGTTGTAGAGAAATTGTTTGATACTTTTCTTTCTCTATAAATGAAGCCAATAGAGAACGCCTTTTAGTATTCAAGTCTTTTGGAAGTTCCGTGAAGTGGATTAAGAAGATTACCAGTCATGGCATAATCAGTCTAGTTAGATATAAGCAAGTGAGGAAACAGAAACTTACTCAAGTTTTCATTTACTTATATTTTGCTGTTTGCTTGGTAGAATAGAGAGAAATAACTTATCTGAGAACGAAATACAACCTATCTCTGTGCTTTTATTGTGAAAATAAATATTTATCTACAGAGAGTGACGTATACAGTGTTATTTCTTTTCTTCCTCAGTTTTTTTTGTGTTGGTAATTCAATGCAGTTGTCAAACACAGAGCAAATGTAAATTTTTTGTTCTGTCGTGAGAAAGTATCAGCGGACGAAACTACCAAAAACTAACGTCATAATCCACAATAAGTGACCAATTATTGATCAGCGCGAAGTATTTAGTCCAATTCAAAAGTAGTGAGAGAGATACCTTATTTCCTCAAGCAGAGGTCTAACAAAATTCTGAAAAGAACTTTTTTTTCTGTAACTTCAATTGGTAGCAATAGCCCATAGTATGGGCTGTCACATTTTCTTTTTTTTCCGTTACTGTAACTACAAAAGTAACTACTTTAGTTACTTAGTTACTGTAACTAGTAACTACTTTAGTTACTCAGTTACAGTAAAGAGTAACTACTTAGTTACTCAGTTACTGTAACTAAGTAACTAAGTAGTTACTCTTTACTGTAACTAAGTAACTACTCCAGTTACTAGTTACAGTAACTGAAAAGTAACTGGTAACTAATCTCCAAATGGAAAGCGTGACTATCATGATTCTCAGCTGATATCAGTCCACTGCTTTTCACTAGTTTTCGCTTTCAGTTCGATGCGCTACTTTTCACAATGCCGCCCTCCCATGAAACCTCGAAGGCATTCAAGCATTTATTGGTACTGTAAAGACTGTTCAGAGAAGTCTCATTCCCATGGATCCTTTCGATTCTAATATTTGAAAAGAAAGATGGCGGGTCCTCTGGTTAAGCATACTATTTGAAGAAGAACTTCTAAAATTAACTTATTCCGACAGCATACGTGTGGATTAGGGGACAAGTAAATATTGAAGATAAGGCAGTAGTTTCAAATGTTCTTTTCCGATCCTCTACGAAGTGTGCCTGACCGAGAAAGATCACTTGTAGTAAAAGCCGGCAAAATATCGATCTCAAATGAACCTCTGTATGAATCGTCGTTGGGAAAATGTTTCGATCGGAAAAAGATTCTTATAATAAATATGCACAAATTTCAATGAGCAAATGAATTTGCAGCTCTTGTTCTATTTAAAAAACTGGTCTTTCCTTATTTTTGCTGTACAAGAAAGAATGAATACTCTTTCACAGTAGGTGTCTCATCTAGCTCCATTGAATAGGATAGCGTAGCGATGAGTACTCGTTTCTTTACCAAATTTTATTTTCTGTTACCTAATTCATCCTGCATAACCGGGCTTTCGACCGATGAAAACCAACTGTGAATCAGAATATATATTTGGAAATGCAGTGCGATCTGTTTCAACTAACTGAAGGACAGGAAAATCCATTTCAGAGAAAAGGACATTTTAGTGACGATTATCGACAGAAGCGCCGATAAAGATGGGTTGACCCTTTTTCGACTTTCTCACATTCTGAATCTGATCTTTCACACATTTCATGAAACACGCTTCACATCTACGACCGAGTGAGAGTGAAAGTGAAGGAGACGGATGGAACGGCGATAAATGATTTATGAAACAAGCGCTACGGAAAAAGTCAAAATTGTGTCTAAAATAGTTTGATCCTGAAGAGATTTTCTTTGCTAACAAAATATTGAAACATTTCGTGAAAGTCATCAAAGGAATAGCATGCATGCCTGTATTCAAGCGATAGAGCGACAGAATTGCTATTGGACTAACTGTTCGTTGCTTCATGTGCGAGTCGCTTAATTCAACTTCAGTTAAGGGCCCCCCCGGGTAAAAAAACAGCAATTTTCCTCAAAAATATCGATTTTGAGATTAATACATAGTTAGATAGCCCATAGTCTGTACTTTCGAATGCACTATGATTTATTGTTTTTTCGATGGTTTTTCAGGGTTTTTCAGCGGTTTTCCAGGGACCCCCAACATAAATTTGTTTTTGAAAATCCCAATCATTGAAGTTATTCGATCTTCTCTACAAGTTTGAGCGAAAAACATGATAACCAACGTACAAAATTGTTTTGCGTTTTTCTCGAAACTGGTTTTTTTGTGCTTTGTCTGTCACTATTTCCAAGATTTCTCCACCATTTTGAATGCTAGAAAGCTCGGGAAGTTTTTAAAATGAAGCTAAAGCTCAGCGTTAGAGCACAGCAAAGCCAGAATTTTCGTTTTCAATTTAGTTCTTTATGAAAAACTCGAGTTTTCTAAAAAGTTAACCTCAAGTTTTTCCAAAAACCTATTTCAAGAAAAGTTTTTGTTTTTTTCAAAAAACCGGCTTTGCTATGCTCTAGCACTGAGCTTTAGGTTCATTTTAAAACCTTCCCGAGCTTTCTATCATTAAAAGTGGTGGAGAAATCTTGGAAATACGAGCACCTACTTTTCACCCTTAATATCAGGATAACTCTCGCAAAACTCAATATTATGAACTCAATTTTTTACTGAAGACTGTCCAAGGTCAGATATATATTCAGTAAAAATTTCAATAAGGTTGAGTGCTCTGGAGAAAAAAA